TTAAGCCATTTTCCGATTGTGACAAAAAATTCTCTGTTTACTTAATCCGACCTATGCAGATTCGAAACAATGTGGTTCCAACATTTGAAAAAAAGAGATAGCCGTAACAAAGAGTAAAAAGGGAACGTATTTTGGGAGCACATGTAAGGAATACATGCAATCTAAGTGGTCACGCGCAATTTGCAGTGAATGTGCTGCCATTTATCGTTCGCCCACTGCTTGCCCACGCTTTTTAAAATCACGGTTATACGCCCAAGACTGGTAGTCTATGTGTTTACATGTCTGTGATCTGCTCCGAGTGAAGTGCACCCCCAATGGGCGAAAAGACAAGCGGTTACAAGCGGGTTCTTGCTCGCTTTCTGCGTGTACGCAGAGACCATACATGCCGTAGTAAATTAATTACGCGTACTCAGCGTGAGCCCCTCATGGCGCGCCTGCGTAGTGAGTACCAACCCCCCAAATACCCCCTCTTTTGTTCCGCTCGGAGCGGATTAATCAAGCATTTTCGACGCTGCTAATGAGCACTGGATCAGCAACAGAAAACCTCATTTCCAAATTAACGGAAAAGTTTGGCAATATTCACATAATAATTCACATTCTTCCTCCTAGAATCTGCCAGGAAAAAAACAACACATTCTGTTGCCTTAGCTCTTTTTAAAGGCTCGAAGACCGGAGATGGGAGAGTATTAGCCTCATAAAGCATGCACACGTTATAATGGAGATCAATGCATGCACACATGCGCGCGTAATGGGACAATTATACGCGTCTGGCGTCCCCTCTAATTCTACCTATCCGGTTTGCAAGTGTGACGTCACTTCAGTTTAAACTACACCCACTGCACATGTACTGCGGATAGAGTTTGCATTGGTCGTCGTTTACATGCAACCATGGAACCGGAAGTTAACGCGCATCTTCAGCGATCGTTCAATAGGAGCCTGCAAATCGTGGCGCGTCCGCCTCTGTGACGAAGTCACTTACGAACCAGTCAATCTCAAGGACTGTCAATTTCATTTAAAAACACGCGCTCGGAATGGATTTGATCTTTGGAAAAGTCTGAGTTACGAAAATACGAGCTGCGTGCCCGCACTACGCTCACTCGATGTGATTCTGAGTCCCCAGCACGCACATCGTGGGCTAGCCTGTCGCGTGCGTTAGTTACTATTTATACGTAGGCCCCTGCGGGAAAACTTAATTTTGTACTTGTTCTCCGGCATTCTGCAGTAAATTGCATAGCAAGTAGACTTTATTTAAACGACTGACGAAAGTTGTGCACAAAATTTGATAAAATTGTGACTCTTGGCATGATCCAGTAAAGTTTTGGCAAATTTCTGTCACCAACGATTTTGGGATTTAATTTTGTTGAGTTTACCCACGTAGTTAATATCGAATACATTTTTAAGAGGGCCGAGAAGCAGAAATAAGGAAGTATAAAAATAGAAGTATGAAACCAATTTCTTTCATTAGCTTGAGCCTTGAAACGTGCTGACGCGATGGCAATTAAGTTGCGGAGGAGGGCTTGTAAGCGACTCCCAATTAAATCCCATTATAAGAAGGTTATGAGAAAACTTTGTTCTCTATCAGTTACCATGCAAGTGGCAAAGCTGTTTTGAATTACCTGTACACAAGAAAATTCTAAAATCTCTTGCAAACTCAAGAGAATGTATCATCCCGGTTTCTTCCAAAAAATAATTTTATCACAGTTAATTTTTACAAACATTGTAATAAAGTGGGATAAATCCCATAAAATTACCAAAATTAAAAAAAGAAAAAATTAAGGATAGCAGGTTTTTCCTTTAGGCCTTTAAAAGTTATGGACTTGAAATGGCTTATATGCAATGTAAAATTACAAAGTAATCGTTATAAATGTGGCTTTACGTCACATTGCTGAGTTTTTTCCTCTCCCTTTTCAGAACTACCGACTGCAGAAAGTCAGAAAAGTAAATTCAAAAGAAGTAACTTCATTTAAATTCCCCAGACTAAGGGCACTGTTACTATACCTTGTGATTCGTGGCAAGCATTAGTGGCCTCTTTTGGCGAGTCCATTGGAGCTAATTAACGTGTAAATTTTTTTTTCGACCAAATGCAACGACCATTTATCATACCCTACACCTGTACATGCTGAAAACTTGGTTACGTCACTTTACAGCCAGGGCCTCCCCCAGCCAGAAAAAACAAAAACATCCAGCCGGTCTCCAGCCAATTCCCATAGGACTGTGTGCTAAGTGGCCCCTTGTGTACAAACTAATCAATTATTTACAAGACAACGCCTGGGCAGACAGTGGAATGTTTCTTATCAGTGACAGCTGTCTGGAACTTGTCAAAGGCCTCTTTCGGCTGTCGCTGAAGTGTTATTTTGGTTGGGGGGGGGTTGTTGTGGTGGTGGTGTGGCTTGGCTGGCGCGTGGCGAGGCCCCCCTCAAATCGGGATAGCCTGAGAGAACGCCCCCCCCCACGGTTCTATGATGTTCTTTTGGTGGTTTTTAAGAGCTGTAGAGGCTAGGGGACAACCAGAGCAGCAATTATATACCTTAGGACGGACTCAGGGCTCTGCAACCCTGAGAAATGATACGAACTCACCTGGACAGGCCGGTCCAGAGACCGTGTAAAAATAAATTCATACCGCGTCCCACGGTTTCCCAGACGTCTCCCACCAACACACATGTTTATGTGCAATCAGATAATTCAGTGTAACAAATTTTATTCAAAGTTAACGCGCGCAATGCCTATTTTAAAATTTACGCCAACTGAGGAAAAGACTGGGTTGATAACTAAATAGTGTTGCGTTCCCTAAATATCAAGTCGATGGTAGCATGGACTTCATTAGTGTCTACGGGATGTGATATTTGGGGTCAACAATTTATTAAAGGGTGGACATGAAACAAGGGGTTTGGGTGACAGTCAAACTGTATGGTTGGTTTATTGCTCTCACTTCTCTTCATCAAAATTCAATATGGATTTGAAGAAGGTGTAGCTTAACATAATACAACACACAAAAGGCAAAGTTACAGAAAGGCGAAGTTGTATACGAGTGTAACTAAACTACGGTTTGACAGGACCATTGGAAATGCAAGTCAGACGGAGTGGGTACGGTACGTGTGTCTAGTATCGCACAGCTAGGCTACGCTCATCAGGCCGGGCCGTGGTGGGACTGTCCCGGACCACCACGGTGACTAGCAAGGGCTGGACGGGGCCAGCGCCGGTATGTACCGACCGCACTGCCGCTCAGACCGCAATGTGTTGAGCGCAATGATAAGATCGCCGCACTGTGTACCATTGGCTCAGCGTAGAGACGGGGAGGATTGGGCTAGTTAGCAGGACAAGGGTGGCGAGGGACACGGGGGTGTCTCGCCCAGCAATCGGTTCGGACGTAGCGGTGACAGGCCGCTACGACTCTCACTAGCACCCTGGCTAATTCGTAACGCTCTCGCATCGGTCCAAGCTAAGCTAGCTGGCCATTCATATGGTTACATTTCTTCGCCATAAGAATGGTTACTATCGCACTTCTCTCGGTAAGGGTCCAACCGCCGCACTACGTTAAGTTCCGCTCTCGCAATAAGGGTTTGGTCCACCGCACATGACCGACGAGCTAAGGAAAATCTGCTCTATTTATAGGATTCTAGAGGCTTAGGAATTAATAAAATATGAGCGTCGCTGAATAGCTCAACCAATGAAAATCTTCCATCTCAAAGGGTCACATGACTTCCTGCTAGAGTCGTGCGCAAGAATCTAAGTGTCGTGTTTAAAAAGGTGAAATACAGAATAAGAAGTCACTGTACAAAGTGTAGAGCCGGGTGCATGAAAGTGCTTACCCGGTCATCTGTGGCGAATGATTGACAGTTACAAAGTTTGAGGTTACTGGACATTAGCATTTCAGGGAACCACCACGCCCAACCACGCAGCCACATGGAGGGGAATTTCGACATGCTAAAACTGAGCAGAGAAAACACAAGGATAAAGGAGTGAAGGAACACGCGATCACGCCAGAGTACAGCATGAATAACTTAATACAAAATTAGCGTCTCTGCTACATGTCCATAATGCATAGCTGAGCTAAATAAGAGACCCTGAGAAATGCACGGACCGAGAACGAGTAAAACTACGGGGCGCTAGAATTCCCGGAGATTTGCGGGTGCGCAACAATAGCCTGTTGAGACTGAGAGGTAGAAGTCACCAGGTGGCATCTTTGGAGGTCAAACCTGAAGCATTAGAGTTTTGGAGACTGACTTAATGACGGCCCAGTGGCCTTTCATAATGAATCTTACCGGCAACTTGATGCGCACCAGTTTAAAAAAAATTTTGTTTTATAGCTCTGAAAAATTCTAGTAACTGGGGCCTCTTTTGTTCGGTCTGAGATGGGCGTGCGCGCCTGTCCCTTTGTTGAGATTAGTAGTCGCTGCGTTTGTGGTCTGGAAGGGTCTACCAGTTTAGTCTCTCCCTCGGTTTTAGTCGGTTTATTGAGTCAAAATTCGTTCTTGTGATTCCACATTATAATTATACGCGCACAGTTGCTTATCTTACTTTATTTCTTCTGTTTCCACCTCCATATTTGTTGATTATGCAATTCGTGAACCTATTCATGCTTAACCTTTCAAAGGCGTTTTTTTTACTACGATATCGGGACTTTATGGAAATGGCTTTGGGTCCGTGTAATACATGATTATGTTAAAGAAAGGTAATTACGACCTTTTCCATTTATTTTGCGTAAACAATAAAGAAAGAACACGCTTGTAACCACCTGTCTTTCTTTCGCCGATTGGGGGTGCACTTCAGCTCAGGGCGGATACGTTGACCGTGCATACAGGGAGGAGGGAGGCAGCAGTACGCTAAATGTGCTTGTATTAGTTGTCATGCTTATACAAACAAAGGGGTCCCAAAGGCCTTATTTTCCGTGGGCTCGTGCCTTATGAACTGCCCTAAGTGACGTTCAGTGGTCCAACTGGCATTTTGTTACTCATGAGGGTGTACTTAGCCACAGAGCCCATGACCTCTATTCTCCTTACCAGTATTGGTTCCTCCAGTCAAGATCCAAGCATCCGTGGACTCAGCTACCTTCACAATACCCTTTCGGAACACCCGCCTTAGCTTAGGTTGCAGGACAAAATCCTTCGCTCCCCCAGTCACTTCAATCAGGAGTTTAGGAAGGGGCAAGTTCCAAATATTAGTGAGGAGGTCCAAGATGTCAGAGGCCTGTGTGTCGTGAGCAACGCGGACATACTACCCGAAAGCAAGATACAAAACAAATTTTGATGGCTTCAGTCTTTATAACCTCTGTTTGGAAAGGTTACTTTTCTTTTCAACCTAACCCAACCCAACAAAACACGCAAGCCTGTTGAATATTTACATAATATACCTTTGCCCGTGTGGAGGTCCAAACCCCTTGGAACTCTACCTCCCCGAAAGCATCGGTGGGGGACCGTCTCGTATATCGCCCATCATCTGGGTCCCAAATCTCGCCCGGCTCGCCTTCCACACACTCAGGGATGTGGTGCTCAAAAACACGACCACACAGGCACCTGCAAAAGAAATCATCCTTTCACGAATCGAGGGCTTCATTGGGCTCACAAGTCACCGCGTTGCACCTTTCCCCATTTCTTATCACTGATTAAAAGTTTACCAAATTCCTCCCAAGTAAACTGTGTTGTTATAAAGAACCTAACTGACCATTTCGTGCAGAGTGAGCCCAGTGGGGACAAGAGGCCTCCTGGGAAATTAACATTAAAAAGAAAAAAAAAGAAAGCAGAAACTACAAAAATACAAGAAATAAAGAAAATAGGGAAGAGGAGATACAAAATGCCTCAGAACTGACTGAACGCTGTAATGGCTTGTGTGCTACTAAGTACTATCCCCTCCTCGGGATAAATACTGCTTACTTGCATGCCATATGAATAATCTCTGTGAAAAACTAGTCGGAGCAGACCCCCAGCTATGAGGACTGAAATTTGGGAAAGGAGACCGAGATGGGTTGAAGCCTTGATCCCCGTGCTGGCTAGTGCGGAAATCATAATTAGGTCAACTCAACTCCCATGTTATAATGATGTTAAAGAAAAACTCAGTGAAGTTTATACTAAAACTGTCAGTCACAATGCAATACAATTTAGCATTCAAATTGATCCCTACAGGTATACTTTGTGAATATCCTAAGAGATCACTTACACGCCCTGGGATTTCGTACTTGGTACAAATCGGATGCATTCCACTTTCTTGAAAGTCTCTCGGATCATCTCATGACCAGAGCGAACCTAGAGGGGAGTTGTATAGGAATATATTTTTAAAGGAGGAAATTATCAATTAACAGTATTTCATTTACTTGTGTTGATTTTGGCTCCTTTGTTTAAAGCTCTAACTCCAATGTCTCATTTTGATGCACAAATAACAATAATGCTTATGAGTTGAGTGGTTAGAATAATTCCATAAGGTCAAAGATTGAACATTGTTTCATTACACTCGACTTTGCTTGAATGAAAGGAACATAGTTTTATGGAATGGAACATACCTTAATGGAGTGGCACATTCCGTTCATCACTACATGAAATTATTTTTGCATTACTGCGATTCAACGTGAAACATTGTTTAATAAAATGCCCGAATTAATCCGGGAAAACCGTGTATGATCTTTTAGATAACAAACACGAAACAAAACAAAGCGTTTTGTGTTATCGCTCATTTTTCGGCGTTGATTGAAAGGATGCTGTACGCAATACAAGCAAATTTTCAAAATATATTTTGAAATGGAATATCAACTTTGTTACATTTACCTTTACGTCTGCGTTTTAAGCACTAGACCTCTAAACTGCAAAGAGTTCATTTGAAAGGGGTTATGACACAAACAAATATAACACAATATGACAAATGCACCTTTGGACAGCTTGTGGTCCATTGACGTATTCAGCGAATAGATATTTTAGATTTTTATATTCTATTTTGGTGTTTTCAGGAATTAAAAGTGCCATTACTTTCTAAATAGTATTATCACCTAAATTTTCACGGATGAAGAAAACTTGGACTGTCATTTTCAGAAACAAAATCCATTTTCATCCCGCTTTGACCCCAAACCATGGATACGCCACTATCGTGGTCAAATGAAATTACCTTCTAGAAATGGTCTATTTAGTTTTGAGTTCATAATTTGTAGAAGCAGAAGAGAAAAATCGTGGGCCATAACATAATCATGTTCTTGCCTGAATTAATACCACGTTATAGACGTTAAAAAGTCACTTTGTGGACACTGAAACAGAAAAGATTTGTGTCATTAGGCCACACTTGTTACCATTTCCAACAGAGCTCTGTAGAGGCAATGTTGGGAGGTGCACTAAACAATAAAACAGCAGTTGGTAAACAAAGAGAAAAATTGTGGAATTTCAATATGATTCAAAGGGCTCGGTAAAATATTCACAAAACAAAATATTCACATGTAGATTTTCACGTAGTGTTCCTTTACATGGCAAGACAAATCCCATCAATCAACAGTGTCCTGTTGTAACATCAACGAACAGCTCAAGCTTGCATGCTGCATACTTTCCCCCTTAACCGGAACAGGGGCATTTCCAAAAATTAATCTGCATCCTGTCATACGGCACGCTGACTAATTTTTTACACGGCGGGCTTGCTCTGTCGAAATTCAGCTTCCAGAGCATTCGCAGATTATTCGTATTTCAATAGAGCCATTTAGAGTCACTGACTGACAAAACTTAGAAAGTACGCCAGCAGCGTGTGCAGCAATGTCCCTGCAGCCGTAGACAACAACCGTAAAGTTCTCAATTTTGTTTTGCAAGAGAATATAGCTTCTTACACTTTTAACAATCTTTAAGCCTGTTCCCTGTTATATTACAGAGGAACTAGCTAAAAATACACTTTCCAATCTCTCAATAAGCTTACATGCCAAGTTCAACCGTAAATAGCTTATAATGATCTTCAAAGGTCCACACAATGAATTTCCTTTGATGCACTTTTTGTGCAACTTAAAAAAAAAATTTAATGTGAGAGAAAAATATTTGATATCTTTTTTGATTCAGATGTATTAAAGTCTCACTTTTTTTAAACATTCCAAATTGACTCTACTTTCAGGACAACTGAGGGTGCTGTCGCTGTGATGTCATTTGGGGAAGACGGTGCACAGGTCTGGTTTTCGTTTCAACTTGTGAACGCAAAATCACACTCGTTACTGGAAACGTTTCCTAAAGACATATATTACATTATGTATTTTTTGGCGTATATTGTCATATACTTGCGGAACAATAATATTCGTCAGAGAAACATACATTTAAGTTAGCAGAATATAGATATTCTCGGCAGTTTTTGAGCACAAAGCGAATGTTGGAACGACAAAACAGTCTTGGTTATGAATATAGGAATTCGCACTAGCATGAAACCAAAAAGTTGCCGAATTACATTCTAAAACAGCAACACAAAAAACAGGAAAAAATAAGCTTGAGTTGAATGAAGCACAAATTTAAGATACATTTAAAATCAAGTTTTAAGGACCAGTCCATACTTTCGCATGCTGCTCTTCACCACCTTGACACGATTAAGACTATAGAATAACGCGCAGAATGGCCCTTGAGATTAACGTTCTTGTACGCATATAATTGTGGCTGGATAGAGATAGGTGAAGAACACCGCACTTAACAGTTTCGCAAAACGTCTCATCATGAAGCAGTTGCTTTCACCATCATGCTATCTAACTGGCGAAATTATTTATTTCGTGTCTTCTACTGGGTTCGGCAGCTACAAAGTAGTGATTGCTTGCATGGTACAAGAAACACAGAGCAAGTTTGTTCTCTAATGTTTTCTCGTTAATGTCTACACGTTCTTGATACTGTTGCCAGCCTATCCTTAGTTTTACCTTCAGGTCTTCCTGTATGATACTGACTGAACGCTCGGTTCGAAACTCTTCTGTCGGAGCAGTCATCTTATGAAGGAATTTACAGCATGAGTTGGGTACAGAGATTGGTGTCAGAAAACGTCTCTACGAAAAGGCATCAAACAGCAGTATAGATTTGTCCACTCGCAGTTGCATGATACCGTCAAATATTGACTGATTTCAAAACTAAAATGAAACTTTTTATAAGACTCCTTTCCCATCGACTTCACCGCTTAGTAGCTACCCGATGCAGCAGCAGGACATATCATGTCCCATCAAGTCCATGACGTGTTCTCGGGTCTTCCTGCCGGCAACTAAGGCCAATTACACACAGTGTTGCAAACTTGGAGGCCCACAAGCACTAAAGGGTTAAACCGGGGTAAAATTATTTAAAGGAATGACCTCAAACCTTAATAAAACCCCGAGGTCATGAAAAGTTCCCCTGCTGAAAGTGTTTCACCTCGGCTTGCGTATCCACGCCAGTGAGTAATTTCTTTGTAGCAACTTGAAATGACTTACTGCTTCAAGAATACTTGGAAGTCCTTAAGGTTTTCTGTCTGGTTTATACATGTGCGATCAGGTTCTCGAGGTCAAAGGATATCGATTTTGCGCTGAAAATTCTCCAAAGAAATTTGCAGAATTCTTGAGGTATTACAGCAGAAAGACTTGCATTTTCTCTGGCCTGGTTTGCTGGATATCGAGTATTATTGCTTGGAAAAATTTTGTAGTAACTGCGATGTTTCATGCGAGATTTGAAACAACTTACTGGTAATGATTATGAGGACGCCTGAAGAGACAGAAGATAACATAAAAATATATACTGGTAGCACTTTTCCTCAAACTACCAGGAGAATATTGTCTTGAAAGGTCTAAAGTCGAATGTTGTCAAAGCATAACCGTATACGCAATAAAGTTTACTTTAAAAGGACTTTTTTGATGTACTTTGATAAAACATGTACTTATACCTCTACCCGTATTACTGCCAATCTTATTTTTTTGCTTCTGGAGAATAACACTTCCGAACGTGACGGTCCATTATTGTATTGATGTGCAGACAGCTTTCGACACTGAAGTTACCACTCCACAGTGGTAAGTAGGGGCAGTGCTATAGTTTATGTCTTAAATAACTTCATATTCTGTAGGCCAGAAGTATAGATTGTTGTTGTTCAGATACACAAATTGAAATACACGTAAACTGCGAAGTTATAAAGGAAATTTTCACTTAGCGGTTATAACTGATAGTACTGACTCGGGTTTCTCCTCAGTAAATATCAAAGTAGATCCCACTTTCAGAAATTGGTACCACTATATCAATAAATGTTTTGCCAGTGTGTCATCGTGTTGTAAAATTAGAGGGCATATTTTATACAATGAAAAGTGTTCAGATTTGCAAACAAACAGAAATTGGCTAAAGTAGTATGGGCTTCTTGAATATATAAAACAGTATCAGCAGTAACGAGGAGAAATGGTGGGCCGACGCCAAACCCAAATTCATTGGCACCATGCACGCGGCGCCTTGTATAGTACAGACGAATCCGGTGATCAACGTCGCTAGTCGTCTGCAGTGGGCCCCTTTAATGGCAGTAATGTTGTGACAACTATATTGTACGAAGTCACTGTTGCTTCGTACAAATCCCTATACCTATCTTCATTGAAGGGGCAATCAGGAACGTCCAATGAAACGTCAGTGGATTTGTCTTTACATGCATTTGCAGAATATCTGCACACAGCATGATACGAACGTCGTTTCTAAAATGAATTCTTTAGTTTACCATGGTTTACTACGCACGACACATATTTTCGCCTCACAACTATAGGACGCAACTGTACGACCCAACGGCACGACGACTCCCCCGCATTGTGAGGTCGCACCGTACTGTTGCCTTCTTGCCATTACGTTTGCATACACAGGACGCGTTATTTGGTGTGTGGTGTCGTGCCATTGCCAGTCTCGTCGTGCGGTCTGATTGTCCTTTTCAGCTTACATATTTTTCTGCCTAGACGTCGCTCGTTCCGTAGCCCGTCTCGTCGCACCGTCGTACATCGTCTCGCGTGGTACGTCGCCTAAAGCACGACGGACAAACGACGCGAAGCACGACGCCATGCGTTGTGTGCTGTCACCCCGTTGGCCCCATAGAGGGCCTTTACTTCTTTCAGCTCTGTCCCTCATGCTTGCGAAACAAGTTCATTCGTTTTGAAGGTACTCAGAACGGTAATTTACGTCTCAGCCAAAGAAAAGTGTACGTGCCCTTTTATCGGTTTATGGGCCCTTCTAATCGTACTAGCTCTATTGCCCATACCACCTTCTCACTATTTCACGTACATCTGGTAAAGTTGAGTGAATGGACTGGGCCTACAAGTATATCAAGAAGTTTCCAA